ATTTTTAGGGTGTCCCATAAATTAGTGGCAATATAAACTTGCTTTTGTCTATTGCTTTTAGAAGTGCCTTTTCTTGGCCATGCTGGCAATGTATGGTTTCGGGATTTGTAGTGGGTATTACGGGGTATACGGCCATCATTTGTACATTTGACTTCCCATATTTTAAACACACTAGATAAAATATGTTTTATTATACTGAGCGATGAAAACAGCGATAGACCTTTAAATCCAATGTTTTTCACGTACATATTCCTGAGTCAGAACGGAGAGATGTAATTTTCTCCAAATGCAACATCCTGTATGTTATGTCCCTGGTCCCTTCCAATGGATCTCTTGGTGCATTTTCAGTTTCATTGAGTATTCCCTATGCCTAAACCTAGTATTTTTTGAGATATTGAAAGTTTTGCTTGCATTACTTTCTCTTAGAAATAAAATGAATTTTTCAACCCAAGAAATGGTTTATATGATTTATGTGCTAGAGCAATTGACAAAAATTCTTCATTGGCAGTAAGGTTGTGTAATCAACGTCACCCACACAGAAGACAACAGTGTTAGAAAACTCTCGCTAGTCTTATGGAGCGTTTCGGGCGTACAGGAACTGTGGCATATGAGAAGAAAGTTTTACAGGAAGGCAATGTGTTCCGCGTAACTGGAGATCCTCATGCAAGTGTTGGGCGTATTCCGAAAGACTTGCACATTAACAAATCATCCTGCACAGTATACTTCAAAAAAACAAAAGAGCTAAGCGAAAACGATTACGTACTTAGGCTGACATTTTGTGGCTGGGCACAAGAAAAAATCCGTTATCAAGAAGATTTTTTTGTGTTCGCCGACGAATGCATTGGCAGGACAGCCAAGAAAATGCGATACCAAAAAACAACAGAAGTACAGGGTGACCCATTTAAAAGATATAAGTTCATACTGCCAGTAGTTTATGGGAATTTATGTATTGCTAAAGATGGTTATAGCTCTTAGCCCTGCGTACAACTTTTATATCTATTTTTTTTCTGCAACTCTAATAGTAACGAAGACACATTGTTTGGATACCCCGTATAGCGCTTTACAAAAAGGTTCCTCCCACTCTGTTGCTTGGATGAGTCAAATTCGCAAACCGAAATGTGGAACAATCGAATTGATGCATACTTTAGCGTAAAAGTGATAGTTGAAAATTCCGAGATAGCAGCTGAGCGACATCTTGATAGTTTTTCAAATGGTATGTGGGGTCACGTAATACCTCATTTTTAAGCACCTAGTAATTTACAGACTGAGATTACGAATTTACTGCCCTTCAAGGTGATGGACCGGCGAGATGTCGAATTGAAGCAGATTTGTACATTGAATTGTTTATAAAAGCGTATATCACATCTTCACAATCTTCTTCCTGTCTTTTTGTTTTGGAGGGTCGATCTGAGTGTACAACTGCACAATGAAGTATGGGAGATACCGTTCAAAAAGTTGACTGATTTTGACATTATTCTTTAAAGGGAATGCCTGATATCTTATAAGACATCTGAATGTCACGTTTCAATGATTGAAGTATAAACAATTCAATATACAAAATGCTCTTGATTGACAGCCCGCCAGTCCGACGTTTTGGAATAAACTAATTTTACGTGCTAGTGTTCTAGAGTACTCATAAATAGCTTCAAAATAAGTAATCAAATGACTCTAAATTCCTATGATAAATTTCCCATTATGGCTTCTTGCCGCCAACTTTTAATTTTTTACTGTCACTTTTATGGTATGACATGCAATGTTTCCATCACTCAAGGTTTCGGCTTGCAAACTTGATCCGTTTAAGAAATAAGTAGGCAATCTTTTTATTGTTAAACAGACTCACTGATATCGTAAGTATAGCGGTGTATTATGAAAGGATATCAAAAAAGTAAAACCTTTATGTGCAAGTGGTTACCAAATTTATCTTCCACCCTTATTTCAAATGTTGACATAATTTTATCTTGGAGGTAAATCACCTGAACGATATTATTATATGAACCAACCACCTCAACTAGGATACTTTTCTCTAGTGTCAACACGCCTCTAAGGGAAGCGAGCGCTGTTTACAAAGTTCTAGTTCTCGAAGGGTATTATTTCTGAGCTAGTGCTTAATCACCCTCCACGCTTGTAGTTGGAGGCAGTAGTAGATCATCAGAAGAGCACTCACGTTTGGAGGATATAGGAGTGTTTATCGACCTTCCATGTCTCGAACACATATTTGATGTTTAAGGGGTGAGTCAGGTGGCGAGGTTTTTTGGTCAAACAAGTATAGCGTTTATCTTCGAACACAATATGGTTTCAATTCCAGTAAAAATCAAATGACGAAAAAAAACGAACCAAATATATAGCTAAAGCAGAGCTAAATAACCAAACGCGAAAGGTAAATTGTTGGAGTTTCTATTAAGTATACATTGAGAACAAAACCAAACATAAACACATGAAATGAAAATACAACCGAAAGTAGGACCTAACGCAATAATGTCAAGACATATAACAATAAGCCTCGGTGAGAAAGGATAGGACATCTCTAAAAAAATCAGCATGTACATATATCACAGTTATCAAAGTTAAATATAAAATAACGATGACAATCCATCTCCTAAATCTGAAAACAGCAGATATTACGCAATGCAACTAAGGGAGCATTAAAGTCAATTTGAAATAGTAGATCTGGGCAACACTATGAAACCAAGAAGGAGCTTGCAAAGAAATCGTACCGCATTACTGGTTTTTTTCAAATGCAAACAAACCACATTGAATTCCACATAAAAGCTACTCACTGTTATTCTTCTCAGGAACGACTCCCAAAACTTTAAATACAAATGTTTCTGAGAAAGGACGTTGCATATTCTTTGCTTTCTGATGTGATACGGCTTCCAAACAAATTAACAATATCCTGATCTTAACTTTAAAAATGCAAAATAAAGCGATTAAAAGCTGCAACACTGGTGAACAATTTATGATCCGTTACAATGTGTCCGTACACTCTTAAAGCTTAGTTCACCTTTTACTGTATATGCTGGTTCAAGATGAGATTTGAGTCAAGCCGCACACAATTTTCTCTCTGGAGTGATGTCATTAATTTTGTAGTCAGGCAAGTTTGCACTTCTATTTCTAGTGAATAAACGCACGTGATATTTGGAAACATCTAGCATGAGCTTACTATATATATAAAGAGATATCATTTCACATGATTACTACTGAGCTAGGTTACAAGCTGACATCCTTTTCCAGACCTATCTACAATGGTAAAGTTGAACAACAGGAAACCTTTTTGGTTCAGGACAATTGTTTGTGCGCATAATATCATATTCTGTAGCCTTATTTGTCCCTTTATTGAGACTGGTAGGCACCCTTAATTTCCTTGTTGCCGTACAATCTTAAAACTTAATTTACTTTTTGCTGTACCTATATGCTTGTTGAATCTGAGATTTGTGTCAAACTGGACACCATTTTCTCGCTAGAGTGACGTTATTAATTCTGTATTCAGAAAAAATTTACGTCTTATGTTCTTAGAGAATGAAAACGCGTGAAATATGGATACATTTAAGGTAAGCTTATTGACAATGCACTTAAACTAGATTTTGCTACAATAAGAGACAGACATTCATGAAATATATAAGTTACGTTCCACGCGATTATGACTGAGCTAGGTTACGAGCTGCCTGAACTTTACTCACTTTTTTTCCCCACTTATCTAGTCCGGTAAAGTTAAACATAAAGAAACCTTTTTGGTTCGGTGAGATTTTTATATGCGCGCGTAATATCTTATTTTGTATTCCTCTTTGTCCCGCAAATGGGGCAGGAAAGGTTCTCTTTATTTCTTTGCTGCCGATGTATAGTAGCAAGCGGGGTTGCGCTGGATAAATCAGCTTTGTGTGGTCTTCCGGAAAGGGAGTGTCGCGTATACTCTTGAGATGATTACGCCTGAAAGCAGGGAACTCTGAAATATAGCATTTTTTCTTCCTCAAATGGACGCATCGTTATTTGCAGTTCTTTTGAGGATGATCTTAGTGGATAATATAAATATGACTTTCTTGAACCGTGATGCTTTTAGTGATCTGTGACACTTATCTCAGTCATGTATGAGTGCCAGAGTGGCAATTTTGGTGAAAAATGGGTCCAGACAGTTTTATCTGATAAATCAGCTAGGCGTCACGTTGCCTTGAGTACACTAATGAAGTATATATTAGTATTGGGAATCTAAGCAACTTTGTCCTACATGTGCTTCTATTGAATCGACTAGGCACACAATTCTTAAAATTGGAGAAATCGAATAGCCAGTAGAATGTGTGTGGGTTCTTTATCAAATAAATACGTGAATGCATGTTTTTGAGGTTCTTCATATCATAAAGATAATTTCGTCTTTAGAGAAGAGACTTCACTTTTAGTCCCAAAAATGAATTGAGGAACAACTATTCTATTAGCATTTAGGAAATTAAGAATATACTTTATCAAAAGGTTAGAGATTCACGACCATTTTCTCTCACAATAGGGGTAGGACGTTGATTTCTTAAAACTAGGCAGTAGAGTGATTAATTGGAAGTTGGTATGGATCATATGCTCTGTATCCTTTACCGTCTCTTGGATAGAAATGCGGCTTCCAAAGTCATTCTCTTAACAAGTAGGAGAAGAAACAGTGCCGGGGACTCGTCATCCAACAGGCCCATCGCTAAGGAACAACTAAAGTTTCTGATCAATCATTTAATGATGTGAAGAAATCTAGGAACATATTATGCCGCCGAATACCTGAAAAACTCATGATTTGTCATTCTACTCGTTTCAAGAATTGACCTCCATATCATTCTTCTGTTTATACTGTAAAGGAATCTATATCTTTGAAGTTGAGTCATTAATTTTCAGATAATGATTGTAGAAGGAAGATAAACCAAAATATGTAGGGGTGACTCGGGCAAAAGGAACCACTTTAAGTTGTCAACTTTTTAAATCGTTTACTAAATTCTAATTATTATTTTTCTTATGGGCAATTAAACTCTATTACATTTAGAAACATAATATAATTATGTTACGAATATATAATTATTGTAATATATCTTAAAAAAACATTAAAACAAAAGTTGCTTTTGATTCCTTTTGCCCACATATGAGGGCAAGAAGAACCAATGCCTTGGGCAAAAGGAATCAGCATATGAAATACATATGGGCAAAAAGAACATTACTTCAAACATAACTAAAAGTAGAATTCTATTAACAATTCTTTATTTCAAGGAACTCAAAACTGATAACTTGCATTTGTCGCAAATATAGACACCTCTGTTGTAATCAGCACATAATTGATGAGCCCAGTTTCGACACATATTGCACTCAATCCATGTTTCGCCAGGTCTAGAGTTGCCACAGATGAGGCATGGTACATTTTCTTCATTGGGGTCCGTTTTATGTACCGGTGGCTTCGGGTACTGCAATTTAGGTTGATCCAAATTTGAACTGCTAGGTTTCTTTGCACGTTTCATTTCATCTGGCAATTTGGTCTTGGGTAATTTTTTATTTTTCTGATTTCTCAACGCTTCTCTAATAGGTGTAGATGTTAAAATTTCTGACTTCTGTGTTCTACGTTTTCTTTTAGAATCATCCTGTTTAACTATTGGCAAAGGCTGAATTGCAGTTAATGGTATAAAATAATTTGAATTTTCGTAAGTGGATTGGAAGGAGCACGATGGAGTAGGAGAAGAACGGTTCTCTTTCCCATGATTCTCATTTTCAAGAGAGCAGAGGGATATAGGCGAATTAGGAGGTGTGCGATGTTCGACGTTACGCTGTGTGTCTTCAGCAACTTCATGCCCCGAACATGACGGAATAGGTGAACTTGGAGATTCAGATTGACCATTACGTGCGGCGAGCCTTGTTGGCATCATATTCCTTTTCTGTGACTTGAGAAGGAACAAAATCCAAGTCACTAAAAACATCAATATTGCCATCGAGTATTCCTGTCTTTTTGAATCCACTTATTGCATTTTGAGGAGTAGCGCCTTGTAAATAAGCAGATCCAAATATTGCTCCTAATTCGTAGAAAGTAATATGTTGTGCAGGATGTTGCTTTTGCCATTTATCAACCTCTCTTTCAAAATATGTTCCAATGGGCCCATATACCGCAACATCAAGCGGCTGTAATTTGTTTGTGGTATGTGGAGGAACAGAAAGGATTACTACATTGTTTGCAGAAGCATAGTCCAACACCTCCAAAGATCGATGTGAAATATGATTATCCAATATAAGTAAACATTTATGTTCTGGAGATGGTCTAACAGATTTTACAAAAAATGTCTTCCATTCTAAGAAGATCTTACTAGTTATCCAACCATTATCGCTTACAAAATCTACAGTTCCAGGTGGAGTGCCATTTAAGTATCTTGGATTTGTCTTCTTCCGGGGAAATATGAGTGCCGGAGGGATACATTTTCCAGTAGCGGAACATCAACATAAGGCGGTTACCAGCTGACCCCTCTCGGCCGATGAAATTGAGTCCACTTGTTTAAGAAATAACTTTTGGTGGCCGCTTTGCAGACGTTTGAATACCGGTCTCGTCCACGTTGTATATGTTGTCCACATCGAATAAATATTTTTGCCGAATGTTATTTAGATTATCAAAAAATAACTGCACTTGTGGCCTGTTAAATCCACAAGCCCGGGCAATGCTTGTAGATTCTGGAGTTCTAAGGCTTAATTCGGGATGTCGCCTCATAAAATTTGAGTACCATTGCTCCCCAGCTAATCCATTACGAAAATTATGTGGCACATTATTTCGAGTTGCGAACTCGAATGCTAAACTGCATAAGTCTTGTTTTGTGAGCCCATAAAAACGGGCGTCCATTTCTTGAATATGTTGTACAAGTTGCTGTTCCATATCGCCAGAAAAAACTGGTCTAAACCGTCCTAATTGTTTTTTGGAAGACTGCTTCAAAAAATGTTTTCGTAAGGTGGGATATGGAATTCGAAACTGCAGAGCGGCACCGCGAATAGATGTTCCTTTTTGGTTAATCGCATTTATCGCGCGATTCATTATATTTTCGTCCCATCCTTGGGCTCTCTCTGTTTTTTGCTTATAATTGAAAACCATTATTCTGAAACAATATTCAATTTTGAAAAAAAATCAATGTTCAACGAAATAGCGAGCAAAAGGAGCCGGGCAAACAGAACCGGTTCTTCTTGCCCGGTTCTCCTTGCCTAAAAAGTATGCAACACAAAATACCTATTCGTTATGAATGTCAAACGCTTGAACAGCGCCACAATTCGTGAGGCTAGAGTCTACGCAAAACTTCATTTATCGCCACAAAATTTAATGCTTCAACTTATAACAATACTCAAATAATTTCCATCTATTTATACCATGATCAACAATTCAGGACTGATACATTTTCTAAATTGGCTGTAAAAACATGAAAAATAAGCTTACCGGTATGGGTATCGAAACAAACACTGGAGAATCGCGGTACCTGTCAGAAGTAAATAGGAGATAGAGGCGGGAATTTTGAAACAAAAAATTTTTGAGCTGGTTCTTTTTGCCCATATGGTTCTTTTTGCCCGAGTCTCCCCTATGTGTGTAAAAATAAAAAAAAATTAAAAAAAATGTTACCTTGTTTTATAAAGTATCCTCCCGACAAGTGTTTCAGTGCGGACCTGTATTTGATCGTGCGGTCTTGGAGCACCGGCATGCCCTCAACCTGTGAGGTCTTAAGTCACCTGATTCACGAGCCCTTTGTACTACATTAACAAAGGCACGAGGGGTTGGTTGCACTCGATTGGGAAACCGATCCGCATAAATCCGTGATGCCGCGGCAGCATTTTGTAGAGACTCCCCCCCCGTAAATAAGAATCATGTCCACAAGTTCACCATTTTCGTAAACATGTGCCATTTTTTATTTCGTTTGAGCCACGCAACAAATACCACTATTCACTCACGCGTTGCCGACTGACACATTGACTGAATACAACTAAAAACATCGTGATAAGCGTTTCAAGTTCTTTCGCTTTTTTGTTTCCGATGCGATGAACCGATAAGGCGGATTATATCCGTTGTTGCCAGACACCAGCACATAATATTATTATTGAGACAGGGCGGTACTCAAACTTCTAAAGGGCTATAAGTTTGTTACTTTAATTTTACCAGAAAAATGTTAAAGGAAAAAAACATTTCTTTTAATCAGATCTACTCACTGTTAAAATAAATGACTCAACTTCGAAGTATATATATTACACCCTTCTATCTCTTAATAAGACAAGCTGAAAGTGAACCTAATACCCCATAAAATATTAACAGGGCTTATCTGAGGCATCTGAGATTGCAACCTGTTAAAGTAAAACCACCTTACAGACCTGTATACATGTTGTGTACGTAATCTCATTCACCCGTGCAGCCGTAGGTTTACAGGATATATTTTTCCGTCTTGTAATCTTCTTCGCTGTTTTCCACCAAGTCATTTGTTTTTATTTGCCGCTAACTTAATGTAAAACAATGATGTTTACTTGTGTGTAGCATACCGAGGAAAAAGCTATTAAGGAAAGTGTTGTCAGGTTGTGTTCACAGAAATGGCAAGTACAAAATGATAACAAATATGAATCATAAACTTCACTCAAAATAGATATGAGAAAATGCTGCAACTCTGACTATCAATCATGGTAATCGCACTTACCTATATAATATTTATTTCCATTTTGCATGTCACGAAGGTTCAAAGCCAGTGTCCTTAGGCTATAATGACAGTACTAAGGATGAGGCCATACTGGGCGTGCTCCTGTTAGCGTCAAGAGTTAACCTAGATGCTAGGATGTAATATCTCAGTGAGCAAATGCACTTATCTTAAAAATGTGAATAACACTACACAACAGTAGGATAACTATGTACAAAAATAAGCTAAGAAAATAAAAAATGTTTTTCGGAGTTCTATAGACACATCTAAAATTCGATTGTTAAAAGTACTGCACTGAATTTTTGCGCCGCAACAATATCCAAAAGCGAAATAAAATAAATCAAAAATATAACAAGTAAAGGACACAGTCACAGAAGGTTAAAATCAAGTTTAAAAATACCCATTTTCCTTCCACAAGATCGTAAAGGTGACATCTATCGACAGAAAACAACCTAGTTTTGAACATTAAGAATTTATTAATCTAAGCTACAGGGGTAAATAATTGTGCAATTCACTGATCAACAGCCAAAAAATATCCTAAATAAAATCAACAAAATATTACTATTTTTAATGTGCTAAAACCGGAATGGAACTTATTTTTTCAATATTAGTTCAAGTTTTAGAGATACGGTAATTATATGTGTTCCGGCTGTGACAGTGTTTATATACTGTAATTCACAAGAATGCACGTGCTACATTTTTATATTCGGCAAGGAAAGATGATGTAATCGGCATGATTGTGTTACGTTATACATACGTCTACATTATATTGTTTTATATTAGCCATTTTTTCCTCAGTTGGCTGACAGCGTTCATGCAAGATGTCTTGAAAGTGTGTAAACAATCCAGATCAGTCTTGTTACGTGTGTGGTGATGTGACTTTTGCGTCTCACAGACGGTCTATTACTCCACTAATAACAAAGGCATATCAGCGTTATTTCGGTTGTAAACTAGGTGATCAAGACAAACAGTGGGCACCCCACATCTGCTGTAATACATGTGCTTCAAGTCTGAGGAGCTGCTTAAATGGCAAAAAACGGTCTATGCGCTTTGCTGTCCCAATGGTTTGGAGAGAGCCTACAAATCATATTAATGATTGCTACTTTTGCATGGTACCTTGTGTTGGACAAGCCACAGGTATGTCCAAGAAAAAAAAACGGTTATTAACTACCCAAACATACCATCTGCGATGAGACCTGTGCCTCACAGTGACGAAAATCCTATTCCAAAACCCCCAGAATCCTACACTTGCGAATCAGAAAACGAATCGGATCATGGCGATCGAGTGATTCGTCAGGAACAAGATATGCCATCAACGTCAAGAGATCCTGATTTTATACCGAGCACGTCATGCCACCAACCGCACAAAATAACACAGTCAGAATTAAATGATCTTGTAAGAGATTTAGAACTTCCAAAATGTAAGGCAGACTTACTTGGATCAAGACTGCAGTAGTGGCACTTGTTAGAAGACGATGTATCGGTATGTGTTTTTCGTAAACGCCACAAAGAGAACCATTTTTCAATATGGAGAATAACTTGGTTTTCTGCAGTAACATTAACGGCTTACTGGCGGCTTTAAATATAAACTATAACCCAGAAGAATGGAGATTGTTTATAGACAGTTCAACATTGAGTTTAAAGGCAGTGTTATTGCATATTGGAAATATTTTACCATCTCTTCCTGTAGGGTATGCAGTTCACATGAAAGAATCATATGACAATATGAAGTACCTATAGACATGCATAAAATACGATGAGCACCAATGGCATATTTGTGGCGATTTTACTTGGGCTGCAGCTAGGCTACACAAAGTTTTGCTGTTTTTGTGTGAATGGGACAGTCGGGCAAAGGCACTTCATTACACAAGACAAAACTGGCCTGTTGTCAATTCCTAGAGCCAGGTCAAACAAATGTACAGCATATGCCATTAGTAGATTCGAAAAAAAATTTATTACCACCACTGCACATCAAGTTGGGCCTAATGAAAAACTTTGTCAAGGCATTAGATAGAGATGGGTCAGCTTTTCAAAGGTTAAAGAAGGTATTTTTGTTGGGCCACAGGTATTGAAAAAACTGCTTGGAATGATTTCCGTCTGGTGGTCACAAACTTCTTGGGAAATAGAAAAGCTGCAAACTATAAAACCCTTGTCAAAAATATGCTGTCATCGTATCAAAAGCTGTAATATGTCTCTTAAGATACATTTCCTACACTCACACCTGGACTTTTTTCCTGACAATTGCGGAGCCGTAAGTGATGAGCACGGCGAACGTGTTCATCAGGATATTTCAACAATGGAAAAAAGGTACCAGGGAAAGTGGAATCCTTCCATGCTTGCAGACTACTGTTGGACTCTTGGTACAGATGCTCCAGAAACGATCCATAAAAGAACAGCAAAAAGACAGCGCATATAGTGATTCTTATAAGTATATGAATCTTGTTACTTTTTTTAATATATCCTTAAAAATAAAAAGTTTTTTTTCTAAACCGTAACTAATTTTTTTATTTCATTGTCAATTTTGGATTCAGCGCCCTAAAATTAACAAAGAAGTGCACTTTTCCCACAAGATACAATTAAAAAACTAAAATTTGTTCTCCAGTGTTATGGGCAAAGGTATATCCACAAGCGTTACATCAAGGACTTTTCCGGCTTGGATATGTATTATAGGACATTGTCTTCTGGCCAGCGTTATACTTCTGAACAATATTGTTGTAGTAGCTCTTGTATTTAAAATAAATTATCATGATGCTGTGAATAAATAGTTGTCTAATATCTAAAAGCCTATAATCTTGAAACAGGCTGTCGGACGGATCTTGATGAAACGTTTTTGAACGGTATCCAGTACCTTGTTGCTGCTCCAAATTCTATAATTCCGTAATACAAATGCGAGTGTACAAGAGCATTATCAATATTTTTCATTATTTTTATGCCCAAAATATTTGCGCATCGTTCTTCAGTTTGTCATATGGCAAGATACTTAGTGTCAGTCTCCCGATCAATGTCTACTATTCAGCATTCATGCTCGACCGACTATATGCTGGTAAATGACTACTATCTGAAGCAAAGGGTATGAAACTTGTGTTATTAAAGTTGCTAATAACTAGTTTGTTATCGAAGTATGATACATTTTTGAGTTTGTGTTCGATGTTGCACTTTAAGGCACCCCAAGAAGAATATTCATGTATGATTGCTCTATCATCAGCAAAAACTAAGACTGTACCCCCATATCTATACAGCATAGTTCGTTTATGTATAAGCTAAGCAATATGGGCTCAAGTACTGCCACCTGCGTCACTCTATCAAGTATTACACACTCTGTTCTGCTGTGTAGGTAACTAGTCATACGCTTCAAGGAAGTTGTTCTTACACCGCTGTTCTCCAAAGTATCCAGAAGCTTGGCATAGTTAACTGTATCAGAAACATTTGCTAGATCTACAAAAACGCTCATGGTTTGAATTTTTATATTTATGAGATAGTACAGTTTATCTACAAGCACTATTTGTAGAGCTTTATGTAGGGATGACGCTGTTGCAATGAGGATGATCAAGAAGTAATGTGAAAGCCAACGGCGGCCAATGACGTAATCCTTGCGCCGCGGGACTGAAGAGTAATGAATGAGGTGGAAATCATACCTAAGCGGTCTTATGAGTCCATTGAAACTAAGCCATCGCATTAGAAATCGCAAAAAGCACTACTCAAAGCACTTTTCCGGGGATGAATACGTTTCCGAGGATGAATAATAATACGGTTGATGAATGGCGCGGGAAGTTGCGGTAAACACCATCAATTGTAAGAGCGCTTCGGATGGATTTTCATAAAACTTCATCCTTTCAGTGTAAAACTGCCTTTTTGTTACTTTAATCGCCATAAGCGTCCGCTACTGGCCATTTGTCTGTTTTCTGTTATTGCCAAAGTGAAAAATTGTCGCTAGTCGCTATGCTGACTGTGATATTCCCGTGAATGCGTAAATACACATAAAATAGGAAGAAAAGATAATAATTTAACAATTTTTTAGTTGCAATGTTTGGATAGCCGCCAATAAAACCAGTAAAAGAAGTGGAAATAATATCAATTTTGTGTTACCATTAATTATCACGAAATTAGATCCAGAGTAGTACAAGAAGTCCGAGGT